CTTCTCAATGTTAAACTTTTCTTAATCTCACAGTACTATCCTTATGGAAATTTAAATTTTACTCAAAACAAATTTTACATACTATATAAAATGTATTGTAATTTTCAACCATCCTACTATGGAAAAGAATCTGAACCTTTATTAACTAGAAATAACTTTAAAGATTATGCACCATTGGCTGTTATTGATTGCTCAAAACAAAACGAATTTCTAAAACAAGCATCTGTAGATGTGCGATTGGAATTTGAAGCAAATGAAAATTTTCCAGCCAATACAGCTGCATATTGCCTTATAATTCACGACCGCATTATACAGTATACACCAATCAGCGGCGATGTTAAAAAAGTAACGTGATTGGTAGAAATAATGACCAATCATAGACGACATCGGTTGTGCTTCAAGAGACCATTCAACGAGTTTGTCATCAAAGAGTTGGCGATTCTACCACTTCAACAAGATGTTCATTCATTGGTCTACCTCTTCGAGCCGCCATATGCCTGGAGTCGATTGCCTGCAAGATACAAATGTGAGAATCGATGGCTTACAAATAATTATCTTGGTATCGATTGGGCTGCTGGTGACGTATCTTATGAAGAATTACAGCCTATAATAAAAGACGTACTAATAGGTACACCTATCGTTTATGTAAAAGGTTTAGAAAAACAAAAATGGTTAGAAAAATATACATTAAATGTGTTTAATTTAGATGATTTTAAATGTCCGTCGCTAAAAAGTTTAAGTGTAGATAGTTCATCTACATGTACAAATCACACACGTAGCTTTAGCAACTGTGCTGTGAAAAATGTATGTAATCTACGAAATTGGTTCATACAACCATCGAATGTACTACGAAATAATATAGAAAATAATGATGAAGTTGACAATGATCGTACATTGAAAGATTTTTATAATGATTGTGAAAATTTCCTATATAATGAATAAATGTATTAAATGTCTATTAATGTTTACTTAAATTAACCCTTCCCTATCCTATTATCTTTATTACACATGTGTAAAACTATTAAACATGTTAAAACTAGTCTAGACTTGTCTTATGACGTCACAAAGTGGGCGTGGCTCAATAATAAAAAGTGGGGGTATTTTAGAAACATAAAAAGCTATTGCGCATGCGTAAAATAGTGGTAGGGGTACTGCGCATGCGTAAAAGTAATGGTGGGGATAATGCGTGATATTTGGGTATAAATAGAGGGATCTGAGCCGATTTAGTCATTCTGGTTTGTAACTTCACAAAATATTATCTCTAAGAAAAGATGGATCTAATCAAAATCAACGCCATTGGTCGCATGGATGCTTTCCTACCTACGAAGCCGCTTTCCGAGCAGATTCCTCGACATAAGTATCCTATAACAAAGATCCAGGTTGTCAACACCAGGTATGGAGTCAAGATCGTCGTTGAGGTGGATAAAAAGTTCAATACATTCCTACCTTCAAGATTTGTATGTACCAATGTTCACTGATGACTCGATATGCTTGGATCAAATGCAAGAAGCTATTAATTCTGGACAATTACGGCTGAAGTATATTGGTGGTCCATACAACCATATTGAATTTAAAATAAAACAAGTGTAAATATTGTATATTGATTATAATAAATGTATGAAATGTTATTAATACTGTATTTAATTAAATACCTTCATTAGTATTACGTTAGCCATCTTTGCCCGCGAAATACAAAATTCAAACGATTAAGTGGTAGCGCCATCTATCGGGACAACACTCAAACCGCACTCGGTCGGTAAAACAAAATGGCTGCTCACTGTCCAAGCGGTTTGAATCTTTCAAATAAATTTTTAAATTTCCCGCCAAGGGGTTTAGAAATCGCTAGTGGCGCCATCTGTCGGTGGCAGCCGGAACTACACTCGGTCGGTAAGGTAGAGAACCCATTCTAAGCCACTTGAAAGTTTGAAAATAAATTTTTAAATTTCCCGCCAAGGGGTTAGAAATTTGCAAGTGGCACCATTAATCACAATTTTTATACATTCCTAATAAAAAATATCTTTTAAGCATTTTACTAGTATATGTAAAAAAGCGAAAACTAACAGTTACAAAAGAAATAAGGTGGTTTTGAATTATTTCGTAAGAGTGCCTTCTAGCCTGGCCGCGATTTGTTAAGATAATTTTTAATCTGGTGATATCATTGAGCGCCGGGCAGAAAAAGTTTCCTTTTTACCTAAAGAAACAAATACGAAAATACTTAAGTTGATCTATAAATAATTAATAGACCCAAAAACTTAATAATATTATAGAAAGAGAGATTCTAATGACATTTTTAATTTTAATTTCATAAAATTTTGAACATCTCGGACTATTGTTTAAGGATTTTTATGAAGTTTACACTTTTTTCAGGTAAAAAAGTGTACTTCAAAATAAAAATGATGTTAATAAAAAAATTAGTTTTTAAATAAATTTTTTTTATTATTTACTCCTCTCTGAAAAGTGTTATTAACATATTTAGAATTCTTATGAATTCACCTTTAATTTAATAAAACAAAATTGATGAAGACTCATCTGGTTCCGGAGATATTGGAGTTTTTCTATAAAAAGACTAGCAACAAGGTGAGCTTCGAATAAAAACCCAAAAGTTCTTGCCCATCCAATTTTTTTTGTATCGTTTCAGTAAAGCCATACAATAATTTTAAGACAAAAAAGAAAAAATTGGTTTATCAATTTTTGAATAAACTCAGTTTTTCGATTTTTTTTCATTTCGGATATTTAAAAAAATCTTCATTTGTTAGTGAGGTAGGCAAATTCTACCAACATTGAGTAGAAATAGACAATACTTCGATAATATAGAAAAATTTAACTATAAACATCTAAATTTCAAATGGTTCTGCAGATTTTCGGTATAACTGGATACGAATTCAATGTCAGATTTTCAAAATTAAAAATAGCAGATCATATATGGCAGACGAATTGGTAAATCTGACATCATATTCGCATTCAGTTGTACCAAAAATACACAGAAGTATTTTGAAATTTATATCCTGGTTTGTAGTAATAATATTCTTCTTCATTATTACCGAAGGTTTGTCTGTTTTTACTTAGTTCTACTTAGTTTTTAAAGAATTTGTCAAACTCAGTAAACAGAATGAACGATTACTCAGAGGAAAATTAAAATAATTTAAATTTCCAAAATGTATTTTAAAGAAAAAAGTAGCATCTTCAGATAAAATATTGAACTTTTTGCAAAACAATTATCTTTTGATGTTAAAAATCTGGTTTTTCGCACTTTTAAGTTAAAATACCTCAAAAACCTGACGTGCTGGGTCTACTATGACGCTGGATTCGGAATTATCACGTTGAAACCTTCAGGAAATTATTCTTTGGTTCTTGTTTAGTAAATACTATAGGCCTGTGGTACAAACGGTTCTTAAATTTTTGAAAAATTGATGGTAAACAACAATTTCTTCATTAATTTTAGAAATTTTTAAGGCTCTAGATTAATTTTCTGTGCTTTTTACCATAGAAAATCTTTGTCGATGCTAAAAAAAATCGAATTCTCCGGCTGCTACTCTTGAAAAAATTGTTTTTTCATAGAATTTTTTTAAATTTTGAGAAAATATCTCTTCGGGTGCTCTTTAAATGTGGTAAAAATTTGAAAACCCTTTGCGATGCTAAATTTTGAGATATTGAAGTTGTGACGTATAATTTTAAACTATTTTAATTTAGTATAAAAGTTCTGCTTACGTCAGGCAAAATCCGACGCTTTCCAACAATAATAATAATATAAAATTTAAGGTAATAAATTTCGCCGTCAGGCGCCAATTAATTTTTAAGCTCAATTAATAAACTATGCTCGTCTCTTTAACAACCCGACAAAAAACAACACCTCTGAGACGCTCTCAATCGTCAGAGGAAATTCTGCCTGAACAAGTTGGCAAGCAGAAATGCCAACGACGAGACACGACTGGTACTACACTGGCTCGATACTGACTCACCCCAACGACGCTCGTTGATTTCTCTCTTTCCTAATTCCGGCACGCTCCATCCAAAGGATTCCTTAATTGAGGGAAGAGAAATAATCCAACACACAATTAATCCACTTTCACAATCTCTACTTTTATTCACAAAACTATAACTTCTTCTCTCGACAACAAGTTTTCTGACAACACACTTCTCTGACAATTCGACCCTCTATTGCCTTTCTACACATCTCGTGGAACAACTCTCTACACACGTCGTAGATCACTCTCCTACATCACTCGTAGGCCAACTGACTGCCATAATGTCGGCGAAAACTAATGACACCTGTTTCTTGCTTTTCCTAAACGTGCTCGGCTTCTTCGACTAGTCTTCTCTCTCGTTCCTACTGGGTCTCCTCTCTTGATCTCGTTCTAACACAAATCGGCTCTGCCCTCTACCACTTTCTCTCCTACTAACTAGCCGCGTGACACACATTCACCACTGATAGTGGGTCACACGGCAGTTCCGACTTTCTAAATTACCATACCAATTAACGATCACGGTTCAGGGATAATTCCGACAGATGACATGACGATTCAGAATTTCGACAAAATAAAGAACGACAATTCACATCGTCACAATCCCCTCCCCATGACCGGTACTACTCCCAGTAGGACCGTCATTACCAATGACTAACTACTGTCCGATGTCAATGGCTGGCTCGTTAATTTTGGTATGAGTCTCTCTCCTCTCTTCGGCACACTGCTCACGAAACTTGGCTCTCCTCTCAAATTTTCTGTCTACAATGCTTTCTAACATCTCTGATCTCAAAGAAAAAAAATTTTTTTTTTCTTAGGGTTGGGTCAGCTGTGACTCTCACAGCCTCTCCCCTCCCCTGGACTATAGGTACTGGGATCACATCCGTACCTTTAGTCCCACACTCGTCAGCATTGCTTTCAACTACACTTTGACAGAGTAAGCTCTTATTACTCGGTCGGTTCTGGCACACTTCTCACACAGTTCTCTTTCTTGGCTCTTCTTCTCTCGCTGTCGTGGCCCAAGTGTACAAGGCTTCTCTATGCCCTCCAGGCACCGCTTTCCAAGACTCTCCGTATTGCCACACAATTTTGGCAGCTCAAAAAGTTTACTCCTTGTGTTTTGCACACTAGGCATGACTCCACTTGGGCTTGCCTCAGGGGACATTGTTTGGCATAATGTCCCTGTTGCTGACATTGAAAACAGATCCTCCTGGGACAATCTCTGTCCCGATGTCCTGTAGACTGACACTGAAAGCAAACTCCCATAAATTGCTTTGTTGTCGCTTGTGAACCATTTTGTTCTACATTTGGCAAACCAACTGGTTTGGCTCCTCCTGACACAATTCCTGCATACATGGCTGGGTATGCTATTTGCATAGGTCCTGGCAAGATTTGTGGTGGTGGTAAACTGACTACTTGGCTCTGCTCTACTGATTTTTGGGCTGCTGTCATAAGTGTCATGGCGTCTACACATACACTTTCTGGCTTCTCCTTTCTGTTGTCCTCCTTCGTCTCTTTAATCTCCTGGGTAGAGTGGTCACTACCACTCGACTCTGACTCCTCCTCTGACGTCGCTGCTTCTGATCTCACCATTTTCTCGAATCTGGTTTTCCTCACGGCTGCTGCAGGAAAACGCATCTTTTCTTTAGGTGGAGGGGGGGTATATCTCTCGTCTAGATCTTTGGCCTTTTCGAAGTTTCGTAGAATTTTCTCCATCTAAATGAGAGAATCGAAATATAAACGGTCCAACTGTCGTCTATATTCCGGCGTAAGTCCTTTGTAGGCGATTTTGACTTGTTGTTTCTTGTCAAGGGGGCGCTTCATGTGTCCTAAGATTAACCTGAAGCTGGTCAAGTATGGAGATATTTTCTCTCCTTTCCCTTGCGTCCTGGCCCTCAACTCGTCAATCACGTCATCGTCGTCTACCGTCACCAGATATTCATTCTTGAACGCCCTCTTGAATGATTTCCACGAATTAATTTCACGGCGCAACGACCTAAACCAACTGCTGGCAGTTTTCTGAAGGATGATTGGCAGCGCTTGCAATATTTCTTGATCAGAACAATCTGACCAAGCCTTACAGTCTTCCAGGCGCTCCAAGAATTCCGCGGCACTGTCGTCATCACCAAAGAATTTTAAGTCCCAGTCCTTCAGTGTTCTGATAACTTTGGACCTCCGACTGGACTTAATTTCTTTGTTTTTCCCCCCACTACTCTGGCATTGACTCAGATCACTCTCAGATTCTGACTCACTCGTAGAGACATCTAAGATTGATCTCCGGCTCTCCCACTGACCTCTCTTCGGTCTGTCGACCCTCTTATTCTCTCTTTGACACTCTCTACTCACTCTATCACTAACGCTAAATCTCTCGCTGTCACTACTTCCTTCATTGCTCTCGTCCTCTCTTACTCTATTCAGTCTGATTTCTCTCTCCTCTTTTATCTGCCCTTCTTCTCTAATCTTACCCAATTTCCTAACATGATCTCTTTTTCTTCCCTTTCTACTACACACACTTCTCTCAGTTTCTTTTCTCACTGGCTCTCCATTTCGTGGCACTCTTTGTTGAGTTACACTGTCTTCATTCCTGCTACTTCGGCTTGACTGGCTTCTAGGGGCGGGTGTGGGCCTCACTCTATCATTTGTGTGATGTGATTGTGAGGTCTCGACTACAGGGGTTTTTCCATGTGGGGACACGATGCGCGATTGTTGATGGTGGGTCAATTGATACCCGTCACCAATCTCGGCCCAACATTGGCTTTGTTGTAACTCCCACCCCCCTACAGAATAGTGGTGATCTATCTTCTCGGCATACTCCATGAGTCTTCTTATTTCTGGCGACAAACCTAAACGCGCAACTGAATCTCGAAGGCTCTGGACATTCGGAGCCATTGTGGCTGAGGTGATGGTGTGCGGCGATGTCATGACAGTGCTCGTTGTCATACTCATTTGAGCACTAGCAGTGGTGGGAGAAACAGTCGTCATACTGGCTGTTGACATGACTGGGGGTGGGAGTGTGAAATTTGGGGTGGTTGCAACGTTGGTCGGATTCGCTCTGCTGTACGATGCCCCATCCCGGGATTTATTTCTCCCACTCTCCCTAATTTCCCTTGCACGAATTCTTTCATGGATCTGGCTCGCCCCACTATCGGATTCCTCATTATCCGCAGATGAAAACTGGCCACCCCTTTGTCGCGTAACAAAACAAAACGGGCTAAATTCTGGCTCTGGGAAGGCTTCCAATAAAAAGATTTTATCGGAATTTCCAAGGTCATACTGGTCGCTAAATGGCACTTCAGTACCGTCAGTCAAGGCTAGTCTCATCTCGGCTCTTAACAATCTCTCTCGCAATACTTGTGACGACCCGCTGATACACAATTGGTGTCTCAGTAAGTTCGTCACTACTTGACCAATTTGCATGACTCTAATTGTTTCCCATGCTCGGCTTACGCATGGTACTTCAATTAGTTCGCTCATGCGTCTTTTGTACTCCTACATCTCGCTACTTGCCTTTGCCATTTCAAAGAATCAAAAAATTTTCTAAGTTCGAATAATTTTAAATTTTAAGGGGGGTGCACAATTAGTATACACGGCCCTGTGCTATCTTGAAAGCAAGGACGTACCCACTCAAGGAGGGCCCCTTTCAAAATTTTTCTTTTTCCGGCGGACTGGTGACTCGGCTCTCCCTCTCTCTTCTTCTCGTTCTCTCTCTCTCTCTAGCCACTATTACTACTACTACTGAGCCACTTTTTCTGGCGCGCGCGAACTTTCTCTCGACTGCTGAAATTCAAATATCCCGGCGCGTCGTTTCTCTCGACCGTCCGGCGTACTATTTGCAATCACGTGACTAACCCGAATTTTATTTCCGGTCTAACATGTGCTCGGCATAAAAATTTTAGAACATTTTTGATTTTACACAAGTTTGTTTGGAATTTTACTCGGGATTTTCTCACGAAACTGGCTTTCGGCAAACAAACAAAATCTTTAATTTGTTGATTTAAATTTTTATCACAGCAGGAAATTTCTACAGTCTCGAAAGAAAAAGAAAATTTCGAATTTAATGGCAAAAGCAATCTACAACTTTACTTTACACAATTTCTGGCCGTAATTTACTCATAATTTATGAACAAATAAATTCTGGCATTGTCAAAATAAATCAATAAACTTTAGTCGTGTCTCGGTTCGAGCCTGGCCCCACGTTGGGCGCCAAATTTTGTGACGTATAATTTTAAACTATTTTAATTTAGTATAAAAGTTCAGCTTACGTCAGGCAAAATCCGACGCTTTCCAACAATAATAATAATATGAAATTTAAGTTAATAAATTTCGCCGTCAGGCGCCAATTAATTTTTAAGCTCAATTAATAAACTATGCTCGTCTCTTTAACAACCCGACAAACAACAACACCTCTGAGACGCTCTCAATCGTCAGAGGAAATTCTGCCTGAACAAGTAGGCAAGCAGAAATGCCAACGACGAGACACGACTGGTACTACACTGGCTCGATACTGACTCACCCCAACGACGCTCGTTGATTTCTCTCTTTCCTAATTCCGGCACGCTCCATCCAAAGGATTCCTTAATTGAGGGAAGAGAAATAATCCAACACACAATTAATCCACTTTCACAATCTCTACTTTTATTCACAAAACTATAACTTCTTCTCTCGACAACAAGTTTTCTGACAACACACTTCTCTGACAATTCGACCCTCTATTGCCTTTCTACACATCTCGTGGAACAACTCTCTACACACGTCGTAGATCACTCTCCTACATCACTCGTAGGCCAACTGACTGCCAAAATGTCGGCGAAAACTAATGACACCTGTTTCTTGCTTTTCCTACACGTGCTCGGCTTCTTCGACTAGTCTTCTCTCTCGTTCCTACTGGGTCTCCTCTCTTGATCTCGTTCTAACACAAATCGGCTCTGCCCTCTACCACTTTCTCTCCTACTAACTAGCCGCGTGACACACATTCACCACTGATAGTGGGTCACACGGCAGTTCTGACTTTCTAAATTACCATACCAATTAACAATCACGGTTCAGGGATAATTCCGACAGATGACATGACGATTCAGAATTTCGACAAAATAAAGAACGACAATTCACATTGTCACAAAGTTCAAACTGTAACTCTTACATGCGACTATGTTAAAAATAAAAAATATCAACCACAATATCTCGTTTTTTGACATGGCAAAGAGTTTTGAAATATTTACCACATTTAAATATTTACAAAGAAACATTATCTCAAAATTTGAAGAAAATCTATTGAAAATAAATTTTTTCAAGAGTAGCAGCCGGAGATATACCTACAATTTTTTATTTAAAAATTAATTTTTTTTATTAACATTATTTTTATTTCAAATTACAAATTTTTACCTGAAAAATGTGTAAATTTTATAAAAATCCACAAACAATATTCCGAGATATTCAAAATTTTATAAAATTAATATTAAAATTCAAAATGGCGTATCTTCAACAATTTTTGAATTTTTTAAAAAAAATTTTGGGGAAAGAAGTCCCTTATATATACATATTATATTATATTTTTGGTATAGCTATACAGAAAAGATCTATTTTCTTTAAAGAAACATTAAAAATTGCTGCAAAAATTCAATAAAATCTGTTTTTTCACATTCAATCAGTTTTTGGGTCCATTAATTATTCACACATTCACTTTATTATTTTTGTATTTGTTTTTTTAGATGAAAGGGAAACTTTTTCAGCCCGGCACTCATTGATATTAAATAATTTTACAAAAATGGCCAGGCTAGTGCCTTCAAATAAAGTTTCATTTAAATAAAGATTACACTCTACCTATCAGAATATTTTACCATTAAAGGTCAATTTATTTTAAAGTTACACGTTTTGTTAACGTAGGGGAGCGTCTCCAGTTGTGAGACAGTCAATTTCTTTTAACATCCAATATTAAAAAGCCGATTGGTTTATATAAAAACATTTCTTTTTACATGAGCCAACTTTCACGTGTGTGTCGATGCCGATATATGAATTGTTTGTGTTAGATCCCAACTCTGTGTGTGAGGATCGACTAAAAAGCGTTTTTTCCATAAATGCAAAGTACTTTTTTTCCAAGTTAATTAATTGGAAAAAGTAAATGTAATGCATTTTCTTTTAGTATTTTCCTTATATTTTGTGATGCAATATTGCATTGTTCCAATCTACGGTTGAAAATAATTTAATATTCCTTTTTCAAAATAGCGCCAATTTCTGGGTGTGAGACACAGCATATCACCTGTTGTGAGACGGTGTCGACACCCATATGGGCAGCATAAACAATACGACTTTGCAGGCATACTATTTAAATGTTGTTTTGATTTTTTTCTAGTATTTTTGGGCATGTCAAGTGGAAGAAAGTCAATTAATTCAGAAGAAATCAATTTTAATGCTCTTGTTAGAGCTGTTAAATTGTGTTTATTTAATAGTCATCCTTTGTCGTTTCCCATACTTCGGAATGTATGTGATTAGCAACGATATTTAAAGTACGGTCACAGTTCGGCAAAGTACTGGAACAAGAAAAGCAAAGTATGGGAGATTAAAATATTTTTTTTGGAAATATTAAATAAGAAAATAAAATATCTATCTTTTATGAGTTCAGCAAAGTACGGAAAAGTACAGCACAATATGAGAGACCAAAAATAGTTATTTATGATACAAGTGCGTAAAATCGTTGATTATACGAGTGTGACGTTTGC